CTTCGTAATAACCTTATAGTATATTGATAATTTGCATTTTACAGATAATTCACAGATTTTACTGTGAAATAAAATTCTATTATAATTTTATATGTTTACATGGATTTAATTGAGCAGTTTTTATTTTTAAAATGAAAATTAAAACCCAGCAATACCCAGTATTCACAGTATTTTGTTAAAATACCATAATTGGAATTGTTCTTAGTTATTTCTGTGTAAATTTGCATACAAATGCAACTAGATGTTAAAACTATTTTTTTTACTTTCAAATACATTTTGTTTTCAATGAAAAAAAAAACAAGATTGAAGAGTGATTTGTGAACACATTCGATGTAAAGTTGAGCATTCAATCTTTCAGCTGATTATTAACAATCATTCGTACTTACATTTCCTGTAGACATCATTCACTGCTACAAAGTCAGCCATATCAGCTAATAAAACTGTTGTCTTGACAACTGTATTAACCCAAACAAAAAGCAGTTAGTGTCATTGGAATTCTGCTTCACTACATTGAGGGGAAACAAATGCACAATGAGTCCAATTACAGATTGGCATATTTTTTTTTAGCAGCATGGAATGCAGTAGTACTTTAGTGGCTGCCAGACATTGATAGACAGCTGTTTTTTATACTGAATTTAGTTTTATCACAGTTAACCGTACATATTAGTGTTGTGTGCCTAAATTTTTTTGACATTGGTCACAAGCCTGTTTGATAAACAAAAACATTTGAGAGTACAAAGACTACTACCAACATATTTACTTCATAAGGGAAGTGTACTTACCATTGGAGTAATCACAACCTTGACTGTTCAGAATTGCACCCATGTTTTTTAAAGCCTAAAAATATAAGCATTAGGTATCAACACAAAATAAAATTAATGGTTCTCTTTAATTCCTTTTTCTTAGAAATCTCAAACACTACTTGCAATAAACATAGTTGAACTCTGGTGACCTTGCCCTTTGTTATATAATATAATTCCCTTTATCATAGTTTGTTTCAATATAAATATGCATTGTCATAATTAATTTTGAATACAAACAAGTTTTGGGGTTGAACCAACAGTGGGGAATCAGTCTACCGAATGTCCTTAAAAGATGTAAATATCTTACAAAAACATTGGTGCCTTATTTGTTTAATTATTTTAAGGAACATAATTTCCAGCTTTATTGAAAGTAATTGAGATATTTTAGAATAAAAACAAATGTCTCATTGCAAAAAAAAGTGCTGCATTTAGATGTGAATAGATTCATAAAACATGCAAGATAACAGAAAAATTTAGCTGGCTTTAGTTCAAGTATTTTGTACAGGTGTCTGTCAAAAATGAATGATTCACTGAGACAAATATGAACTGCCTCATTGTGTGACTACTGTATTATATGAAAGGTAAAAAAAAACCTTTATGAATAGCTATCATGTTGCAAGCTCTGCTTTGTATGCAAATCAACTTAAATAGTTGGTGTCCAGTGGAGGGAGAAGTCAACAGTACTGTTGCCTCCTGAGAATCTACATCTACATCTTCAAACACTGCAATCTCTGAAGTGCCTTTTTAAACTAGTATTATAAAAACTCTATCATTCTGTTCTAATAGCTGAAACATATTCCTGTGAGTTTTCATTTGTCGAATGAACTGTTTGTCAAATACAGAATACATATATTTTAGAATAATTTTCTTTTTAAAATGTGGATGAAATGTTTTGCTTTTAATGTATTTTTTATGTATTGTTTTTGATTTGATAACTTTGAACTAAACAGATTTTCTATTAGCTTCAGATCTTGATCAAAGTTAGGCACCCAGTTCATAGGAGTGCTTATATTGATTTTCTGACATCTTGTTTTCTGTAAAGATTTTATTGGTAGGTTTGCAAATGTGTATCAGACTGTGCAATCTCTCCATGAGTTGGTTTTGAAACC